TTCTGTTTTTTTTTTTTTTTAATTTCCACCGGCGGTTTTTGACCGCCGGCAAACCGCCGGATTTTTTTTGCCGCCGGAAAACGCCGTCGGAAAGTATTTTCCTACGCCGTTTTTTCCGGCGGCTCGAAAGCCGCCGGAAAACCGCCGGAAAATTAAAAAACCGCCGGAAATTGCTCAAATTCCGCCGGAAAAAGCCGCCGGAAGTGGGTGATTTTCCTGTAGTGATTTGAGTGACATATTGCCATAGTACATTGATTGGGATGTAGGGATTTTTATTTTCACAATGAATAAATTCGGTATTTCTTTGACTCGGATTCACAGCTTGATTGGCCTCTTCAATATGGTTTAAACCATCACTTTCATGAATTGCATATCTTAATCTTTGCTAAGCATATAATTTGAATATCTTTGAATTAAAGTTTTCTATCAAAGATAATTTACATGCATTTTTTTAATTTGATATTTTTCTATCAATTAATTTACCTTATTTTCTTATTTCATTATTCTTCCTATCAATTACATTATAATAATTTATCATTTGAGGAAACAAAAATATGCAGTGTGATCTCTTTTAATTAGAAATAGTGAGTGATTTTCATTGAGTTGGTAGATCCATAGTATTGCTAAAATAAATGAATTTTAGGTACATTATAATTTTTTATTATATGAACTGAATTGAGCAATAATTTTATTAATTTGTGATATTATTAATAACAAACTAGTGAAAGAGTCATTAGTACACCAATTTCATTTTATAAAAAGAGATAAAATATTTAATGTTAATAAATATCTTTCTTTGTAGTAACACATCTATGATGTAAGTTCTCTCATCTTTCACTCATTTATATATTCAAGAATAATCGTTTTGAGGCCTCTCAAAATGATGTCAAATTTTGATACAAATAGTCTCACTTGATCTCATAATGAGACATATGCAATAAATGATAAATTTTAATTAGAAATTAAAATAAATATAATGTTTTAATTAATAAATTTAAATTTTAAGACATGAATTAAATTTATTTTAAATTAAATTGGACAAAGGCTGCTCCATAGTTCTCAAAATGCTTATTTTAACACTTTTAGAATTAAATTTTGTCAAAAACCTATTTATAGAAAGAATTTGGTTATGCACCCTATTCTATTTATGGATAATGACAAATGGCCAATTTCTTTAGCAGCAAATGAGAAGAAAAAATTAATGCACATGAATATCTTCCACAAATGCTTTTTCTATTCCACCTATTTATCTCTCGAACAAAGATTACAAATTTGATTCCAAGTTTTATTTATTTTTGTTCGAGGATAGTAGTGTTGGAAGGAACCACTGCTCCTTTCATCCGTTGGCCACCACAAATACAATAATATTATGGCCTGGAATGATCTCCCCATGGATCTCCTTCGTTGCATCTCATCACAATTGTCCATTGTAGACTTAGCTCGATTATCTATTGTTTGCACCTCATGGAATTTAACTCTTGCCAACTATGCACTCCTTGGATTTCAATGTTATCCGTCTCCATGGCTGCTCCTTCCCAACGATGTTGGAGAAGCTTCCGACACACTCACCTTCTACGATGTTACCATTGAAGAAAAAGCCGACGTTGGTTGCCATCGTCGCTTCTCCTCCCTCAGTAGCCTTATCTATGGTCGTCGTTGCTTTGGCTCCAATGATGGATGGCTCGTGACCCTTGATAAAATAGATCTACAGCCTCACCTCTTTAACCCTCTCACAAAGGCTGAAATATTGCTCCCATCCCTTTTCACCATCCCCAAAGATCAAGGTCATATAATTGAGCCCGAATACGCCCCTGATGGCTCCATCAGGTTTTTTTGTAATGAAGTTTCTTCATACTTTACCGTGGACGAAGAAGGCTTACGTGATATATATTTTCATAAAATCATTGTCTCCTCTAATGACTCGTTTAGAACTACTGTTGTTATTTATGGCTTTACAAAAGCACTGGCTTTGGCAAGGCCAGGAGATCAAGCTTGGGTTCTCGGCCCACAATTACCTCCTTACACCTTGAAGCATAATGAGCAATTTGAAGATGTTTACTATCATGATGAAGATCAAAGGTTTTATGCAATCACACATTTTTCTATGGTGCTATCTTTTGATCTCAATGGACAAAATGTTGAAATCATCTGCCCGGCGATGCGAGACCCGTGTTGGCGTAATAGACACTCTGATTACATGTACTATATTGCTTTTATGTCAGGAACTCTTCTAAAAATAGAGAGGGTGATCAAAATTTATGAGGAGGAGATCGATCAAACAAATAACGTGAAGACGATAGGTTTCTTTGTTTCAAAGTCAGAGCCAGCTGTTATTGGTTCTTCTTATTCTTGCCCTCAATGGGTCCCCGTCAAGGACTTGTGTGGTTACTCCCTATTTGTGGGTTGTAATCAGACTTTTTATTTGCATCACATGATTGCTCCTGGAATTAGACCGAATTGCATATACTTTGCTGATCATTTGAGTGACATGTTGCCAGAGAATGTTAATCGGGATGCTGGTCTTTTTGAACTTCAAAGTAGGCAATTTCAATATTTCTTGGACTCAGATTCACAGTCTAACTGGCCCCCTTCTATTTGGTTTACACCTTCACTTTCAATTTCATAAACTGAAAATATTAATATTTATTAAGCATTTAATATGATTATTTTTGAATTATAAATCTATTTTAAATATCTATCAGACATTTTTTATGTAATAATAAGTAGAATTTTTAATTTAAATATTTATTTCCCTCTTCTAGGTTTTGATTTGAAGAAAATATATTATTAATGCTGGATCATTGTTAAGTTTTTTTTTTCTTTTTTTTTGTGAAATCTTGTTAGCCAGAAGAATCGACATTATTTTTGAAATTATGAACGATTTGAATAGACAACTTTACAACAACTACCCCATAACATATATTAAAAAAAAAAAAAAAAAAACTACCCCATAACATGTAGTTTATCAAGATTAGTTGTGCGCGTAAGTCTTCTATGACATAAAAAGCAACTGGATGGAGTACGGAAAATGGAGTTTATTATAATATTTGTCTCTTAACTTAGAGATGATAAGATTATAAGAATATGAATTGTGATTTCATTAAAATCAATTGTGATAATCTATAATATCTATACTATTTTAAAAAGCACTTGTGATTTCATTAAAATCAAATTTTTATTTTTAAATTAAAAATAATATAACATAATTATATGATATGATAATGAAATAGACATACAAAATATGAAAAATAAAAAATATATAAGCATATGCTTAATAAGTTAAAGTTATATTTCTTTTTGTATGCATATAAATAAAATTATATAATTGTATTATGCAGCTCATTAATTTTCTTAATTTTTAAAAATTTAGTAACCTGGATTTTATAAACTTACAATTAATAAACTAGTGTAAAAGTGCATTGTGATAGAAAACATTGCAGCTCCTTCTTTGATTAAGTTTTAATTTTATTTAAATTTATATATTTTAGAGTAATCTTTTCAAGACATTTGGAAACGAAGAAATTATTATATGCGGAGGCCGAATGCAGAACGTCATCCGGAGACCAACCAAAATGTGCTACGTCGGCAATACCGAGCTGCGGCACCGAGAAGTACCGAGCAAGTGGTGATGTGGCACATTTTTATTGGTCTCCGAACTGTGTTCAATGTCCGCACAACATAATTAATCCTCGAAACGAGGTCAAAATTTTATTTGTATTATAGAAAGTAATATTGAGAGAGGAATTATGGAGATAGAAAAATCTTGCAAGAAACAGAACAGAGAGTTTCCATTTCTATGAAAGTTAAATTCGAGTCCTATTCGTATACAGAGTATGGGTATTTATAGCTATCTATGAGTACATGTGCTTATCTGTCATTAGCTAAGTTTGTTACCAGCTAACTGTCCATGTGCTGAACCACCATCTGCACATGGTTCTTTATGATTCTTGCTTCCGGTTGAATGTTGAGCTTCTGATATGGTTTTTACGTCCCCGCAAACTAACTGTGGAGTGACTGTAACAGTTAGTTCGTCTCTAAGAGTTTTAAATCTAGAAGTTGGAAGCGATTTGGTGAAAATTCAGCTGTTTGATCAGTAATACTTATGGAACAACATTTAGTTCCTTTGAGCTAATGTGATCCCTGTGAAATGAAAGTCCACTTCGATGTGCTTAGTCCTCGCATGAAAAACTAGGTTATTGGCTAGAGCGATAGCTGACATATTATCGCAATTTATCACTGTTGGCTGATTTTGTGGAATGTCAAAATCCATCATAAGTCTCTTGAGCCATAAAACGCCTGTTGCAGCTGCTGCTAGAGAGTGGTATTCTGCCTCTATTGACGATCTAGCCACAGTTCTCTGCTTTCTAACCATCCATGAAATGAGGTTGTCCCCTAAAAATGTGCAGTAACCTGATGTGGACCGTTTGATGAGGGGATCTGTTGCCCAGTCAGCATCGGTGAATGCCATAAGTTTGAGCTCTGTTTTGGATATAGGAAGACCATAATTTACTGTTCTTTTCAGATATCTCAAAAGGCGTTTAAGTAAATGAAAGTGTTGAGACAGCGGTCAATGTATATTTTGGCATAGCGTGTTGACGATGAAGGCAATATCCGGTCTCGTTATAGTTGCATACTGAAGCGATCCGGTCAGCTGTCTATAATTGGATGGATCTGATAAGAGAATGTCCTGAGGTATGTTGGATGGGATTTTGTGGTTAAGGATGGGTTTGATAAAGAGTTGCATTGAGATAGACTAGCTTGAGTTATGATATTGTGAATGTAGTTAGTTTGAGAAAGAATAAGTTTGCTGTTTTGAGATGTTATGGTGATGCTGAGAAAATTAGAAGGAAAACCGAGATGCTTAATTGTAAATCATTTGTTAAGAGATGAAATGATATGAAGAATATGGTGAGAATCGTTGCCAGTCAATAATATGTCATCGACATATATTAAGAGGTTTGCTTGAAGATTATTTTGATGTAGAGTAAACAGTGAGGGATCTGATGTGCTTGGATGAAAACCGAGTATGAGGAAAAAACTGGAGAATGTTTTAAACCATTGACGGGGTGCCTATTTTAGGCCATACAATGATTTTTGAAGTAGGCACACGTGATTTGGGAATTAAGAGTCCTCAAATCCTTTGGGTTGTTTCATATAGATAGTTTCGTTGTTGGATCCATGAAGAAAAGCATTGCTAACATCCATTTGATGTAATGGCCACGAATTGGTAATGACGAGAGTAAGAAGAACACGAATTGTTGCTAATTTGGCTATTGGGCTAAATGTTTATGTATAGTTTATGCCATATTCCTGTCGGTTGCCTTGTGCCACTAGTCTAGCTTTGTGTTTTGAGATGGAACCATCAGAATTTCTTTTTGTTTTGTATGTCCACCTTGAACCAAGTATAGGTGTATGAGCTGGTGGAGGTACAAGGATCTAGGTCCCTTGTTGCTGTAAGGCAAGAAACTCGCTGGCCATGGCAGAATGCCACTGGGCAAGTTTTGAAGCTTCTGTATAACTTGTGGGATCATACGTGGTTGGGTTTAAGGGAGCGTGTTTTGTATCTGGTAAGCATTTGATGTGGTTGAGTGGATGTAGTAGTTGTTGTGGGATTTATTTGTATGGGTTCTTGAACAACTGTGGTATCAAGATTAGGAGAAGAAGACCTCTGTCGAGACAAATCTGCATTAGATTGGATAGGATAACATGTGTCTGTTGCTGAGTGGGGATTTGTTCTTTGAAGTGAGGTAGAAACAAGAAGCTGTGGGTTCGTTGATATGGGATTATTATGTGTAGAGGTTAATGTATTGAATTTTGTAGCATAAGGAAAAATTGACTCATCAAATGTGACATGTCGTGAGATGTATATATGACTAGAGTTTGGTTCAAGACACTTGTACCCTTTGTAGGAGTTGTTGTAGCCAAGGAAAATTGACAGTGGAGATTTGATTGATAATTTGTGACAAGCATGTGGAGGTAGCAGTGGGTAACAAGCACAGCCAAACACTCTGAGATGAGAGTAGTTCGACTGAGTATTGTAGAGTAGCTAAAATGGAGATAAATTGGAAGTGATTGGTGCAGGCATGATATTGATAAGATATACAACTGTTAACAATGTGTCCATCCAGAACTATTATGGAAGATATGCCGTATGGAGTAGAGCTCAAGTTGTCTCTAGGATATGACGATGTTTACTTTCCGCCAAACCATTTTGTTCAGGTGTGTATGAACAGCTTATTTAGTGGTGTATTCCATGGGATTTCAGATGTTCTTTGAGATGATGATTTAGAAATTCCATGCCTCCATCACTTCGGATTTGTTTAATTGAAAGAGACAGCTGCTTTTAATGTGCAAATGAAAATTGATGAATAAAGATCACACATCAGATTTATGCAACAGAGGAAACACCCATGTAAATCGAGTTGAATCATCCACTATTGAAAGATAATATCGAAAACCTTGATTCGAAGGAATCGGTGAGGGTCCCCAAACATCCATGTGTAACAATTATAATGGCTTGTAGTAATGATTAGAGGATTTTGTAAACGGTAGTTTGTGACCTTTTCTGGTCTTACAAGAAGAACAAGAATTACTGGGTTTGGGAATAGCTAAATGTCGATGCTGTTTGGAGGTAGTTTGAATGGCTTGTTGATGTGGATGACCAAGCCGATAATGCCATTGTAGGTAGGATGTATTTGTGGCCGTAAGAGCTTGACGACAGACTTTGTTATTGGAAGCAGAAGGAAAATGGTAGATATCATCTTTATAAGGGCCTGATAAAATTGTTGAATTTGTCTGTTGATCCTTGATATGAAAAGCAGATTTGTCAAACAAAACAGAAAGGTTATTATCAGTGGTTAAAGAAGAAACTGAAATCAAGTTATGTGAAAGATTGAGAAGATGAAAGAGGCGAGGTAGAATAATCTTATGACTGGGAGTAGGAAGCAGACCCTGACCGGAGTGTGCAATCGAGAGGGTACTGCCATCGCCAATTGACACGCTGTCTTGACCATTGTATTCAGTTGGATGTATCAGGTTGTCCAGATTATTGGTCAGGTGTGATGAAGCTCCTGAGTCCATTATCCAGTCCATTTGAGGATGCGTACTTGTTGCTACCAGTGCTGAGTTTGGAGTTGGATATTGCTCGTTATACCGGTGCCAGCACATGTGAGCCGGGTGTCCGCGTTTGCCGCAGATTTGACAGAAGACTGGTCCGTAGGAAGGAGCTGTGGTATTGGTTGCCAGTTGTGATGATATGTATGAGTTCTTCGTAGATTTCCTTCCTCTATTAGAGGAATTAGATCTACCGCTCCCTCTACCCCTGTTTCTGTTTGAATATAGTGCTGTAGCTATATTTGGTATTGAGTGATCTCTGACAGACTCACTGGCAAGATTTGTTTCTTCACTCAAGAGCAACGAATACAAATCTTCCAGGCTGATTGGGGATTGATTGGCATGATTCGTCGTCTTGAAGGCCTGACACTGCTGCGGTAGGCCATTAAGCGTGTATAACAGAATATCTTCACTGTCAATAGTGCAGCTTGCTGCTGCAATGTTATCAACCAGGGTCTTGACATTTGTGAGATATTGTAGCATTGTTAATTATCCCATGGATATGTGATGTAG